CGGCTCTTGATTTTTTTTTGTTTTCTGGGATGCACCCCACCCCCGCGCTGCACTCCTTGTGGCTGTATTCTCTCTCCCTCTCTCTCCCTCTCTCTCCGTCCTGCTGTGCTGTCTCTTTGGACCACTATTTCTTTTGTTTCATCGTCAACGAACAAGCACACCTCTTTCGTCTTGCTTTGCCGACCAAACCGGCGTCGCGTGCGTCGCATTCGTGGGAAACTACGGTTTTGGTTAATTGTGGTTTGTTGGGGTTTGGGTCTGCATTTGTTTTTGTTTGTCGCCGCTCAAATCCCCTTTGTATATTGTTTTTTTCCCATAACCCCCTTGTAGTGTATAGTGACTGCGCTGCGCCGGCGCGAGGGACTGTCTTGCGCATTGTGCGTGTGTGTGGCATTGCGGCTGATCATGCACAGCAGATGGTGCTGGATGAATCCGAGCGTGCATTTCGGGGAATGGGGGTGCTGCCTTTTCTCATGGAACTGGATTCTCACACTGCCCCCAAATGCAATATTGCAATGACGCACACATGATTGGGCGCGAATCCTTGCAAAATGATCCGAAAACAACACCAAAACAAAACGACAAAACAACATTCCCAAAAACAAAAACATGGTCAACATTGATTTTCCCCAAATTGCTCAAATTGCCTTATGTGACGCACAAAATGTGCACCGCCGACAAAACAAGAGCACAACTGTCACACAGCATCACATTTACCGCATGATCAAGCTCGTTTGTTGAGTGGAAGACGTCTGACAACAAACCACTCACTCCATGTTCCCTTTTCCCCCAATAGACCAGAGCTGCTGAAATGACGAGCGCGGCTGCCTTGTGCTTGACGCTCCTCTTGGCCATTGCATGGGGCAATCAGCCCGCATTCGCAGTGCAGTACCGTGCGTATGTCACAGCATACATTCATGGCATGAACGTCGAAGGCGACTGCGATCCATTCGGTGGCTCCTGTAAGTGCTGCACAACTGTGTGCCTGGCATCCGGTGCTCTTGTGTGCTAAATCCATTGTTGAACATTGCAATTGTAGGTGACACGGAATGCAGTTCGTCTGTAACGTTTCCGCCCGCTGCTGCGGTATCCAAAAATCTCGGCGAGTACGACGACTCTTCAAACCCCGTTTGGAACTCGTACTATTACAACAACCAGCCGATCGACAACTTTGGGGGCAAGATCATTTGGTACTTTAATTGCAACGACTACGATCCCACCAGCGCAAACGACGACATGGGTCGATACAACACGCCAGCTGACCACCAGGCCATGAACGTCAACACTGACTACGGAAACGTCGCGGCCGGCACTTGGTACGACCTCGGAGGAACAACTGGCAGCGACGATTTGTCCGTCTACCACATCTATGTCGCGTACCGAGCCAACTGTGACACGGATTACTACAATAACAACTGCGGTGAATACTGCCATGCTGGAAACCCTCCCGCTTGTACCGACTGCAATCCCTCAACAGGCTATTGCATCTGCAACCCTGGCTACCAGGACAAAGACTGCGGCACCTGCTCCACCAACTACTGGCAAGTTGGCACGTCGGGACAGCCTGGGTTCCAGTGCGTGTACTGCCTCGGACAAAACACGGCTTCTGCTTGCTACTCGTGCCAAGCTGGTGGTGTCAAGGTTTGCTGCGACGCTTGGAAGGGCACCGAATGCAACGTGAAGAAGTCCTGCGGCGCCTTCCCTGTCGCACCAGCAAACTCTGCGCGCGCAACCGATGGCACTTCTTGCACGTGCTCAGAGTATCAATGCACTTGCAAGTACTCGTGCAGCGCAGGCTACACTGCTACGCCCGTCACCTCCACATGCGGCTTCGATGAGCAATGGACAACGGTTGCCGGACTCCAATGCCTCGATGTCAACGAGTGCGCTCCGGGAGGCGGAAACCTGTGCGCCCAGAACTGCACCAACACGATCGGCGACTACACCTGCAGTTGCATGCCCGGCTACAACCAGAACGGCGACGGTCGCGGCGAGTATGGCTGCACGGGTATTGATGAATGCGCCACAGCAGGGCAGGGCGGCTGCGCTCAAGACTGCACCAACACTCCGCTCTCGTACTACTGTGGCTGCTTTGCTGGATTCACATTGGCGCCGAACGGCAAGGACTGTACCGACAACAACGAGTGCACGCTTGGCACCCACAACTGCGACTCGCACGCAAGCTGCACCAACACGTATGGCGGATTTTACTGCACCTGCAATGCTGGATTTACCGGTGCGGGGACTGCGGGTACATGTGTCAACACGAACGAATGCGGGCAGTCGCCATGCGTGGCAAATGCCGCGTGCGTCGACTCGCCAGGCTCGTTCACGTGCACCTGCAACGCTGGCTACACTGGCGACGCGTACGTGTCGCACAACGGCTGGTGCGCTCACGTCAGTGCCGTGTCCTTTGCCGACTCGTCCGTCATGGTTGTCAGCAAGCCCGCGAGCGGAAACATTACTGTGACGCTGCAAGTGAATGCGAGCGCTTCGGTCGACCTCTCGAGCGTTCAGTTCTCAGTCGTCGGCACCAACGCCACTGCGGGTGTGGACTATGTGGTCTTGACGGCGTCTCCGTTGGTCTTCAACGTGTCGGATACGTCCCGCGTGATTCAGGTGGCCATTCTGAGCAACAGCTTCACGACCAACTTGCAGAGCTTGAACATCCAGTTGCACGACCCAGTCCACCTGGTCGTTGATCGCTTCAACAACGCCACTGTCATCATTAACGCAGCAGGCACGGTGCGCTTTGCCCAAGCCTCGCGCGCCTTCAGCGTCAACATTACTGCTGGAAGCTATGCCCTCACTGTCGAACGCGTGTCGGCTTCGTCTTTGGCACGCGCCGTCAATGTCACCATCTACCGTAGCCAGCCCGCCCCGCAGTGGTTCTCTGTGGTCATCGCTGTGAACCAGCTGACTGCTGTTTTGACCGTGCCGCTTGCCATGTCGACCGCGCCCTCGTTCGATACCGTCTACACGTACACCATCACCAATGCCACATTGATTGGCTCGACTGCGCGCCCTCCATACATTGGCGACTATGCCACAGCAGCCGTCACTGCC